TTCTTCAACAATTGCAAGATTATTGTTTTAATCTTTATCTTTTTATTAGAAATTTTTTTATTTATCTTTATAGTAACATAATTATATTAACAATAAAGAAAAATAAAAAAATTAAGAAAAACATTAAGAATTAATGCTGTTTAATTTTGCTAGACTATTTCGTGTAAAATTACTCATATAACAATAAAGCTTACTTATATATTTCTTATAAAATAATTAGAATTAGAAGAAGAGTTTATGAAAAATTTTTTGTGATACATTTTCTTTGTTAAATCACATTAATATATAGCAGATATTTCAGCAATTAACTATTTATGTTAACTTATAAATATCTTATATATAACGCAAATATAATTTTTAATCTTTTAATAATTAATAATTATTTTTTTAAAAAATAAAAATACAATTTTCTATAAACTACAATTAAAATAATATTTAAAATTTGTTATTTATAACAAAATAAATTAAAATAAATTAAATAAGATATTGAATTATTAAATAAAAATAGTAAAGAAAATCATCAAACTTGGTTAAAAAAATGCAAAAAGCGCAAATATAAAACCACAATTAATTGTCGAATATTCATAAAGTAAAATATTTCATAAAATTATTTATATTAATATAAATAAATGTATTTAATCATTGCAAAATAAAATTGTGCAAAATTTCGCCGGAATATGTAAAATATATAAATGGATTAAAAAAATAATTCAAATTTTCTTTTCGTATGAAATATCGTACCATTATTCGCGAATGCAACATTTTTTTCCACCGCGAACATAAAACAATATTAAAAATATCAAAATTCGTAAAATAAATTTCACGTGATCTCATGGCAAGGAACGCAAAGGGTCGCATGGGCGAAGGATGACTCTGAACATGTCCGACAAACATGAGGAATAATAAAAAATAAACCTAACTTCACTTGCGGTGAAGAGACCAGCAGCGAGATAGAGAGACAGAATCTGCAGAACGCAGAGAAAGAAGAGGGGGGAAGTAAGAACAAGAATAGAATTTAGAATGAGGTAAACGAAGATGGAAAGGAATGTCAGTTTAGAGCGAGAAAAATTGAGACAAAGATAGAGAGATGCGCCATTGAGGATGTCAGATAAAGAGAGCGTCAAGGGAAGGAGATAGAATGAGAGATACGGCAATAGAGTAAGATGGAAATAGAAGAGCTTTCGTTCTCTCTCCCTCTGCTCACGGCCAATGAGTCGCCGTCAACGTTTTGGTGGCCCAACCCTCGGAGCAACATGGCCGCCAAGTGCAAAAGGGAGCTTAAGTAAGGGTTAGGTTAGGCTAGGTTCGTCCTTTCTGGACCCGTCGCTTTTGTGAGAGAACTGTGCGCAGATGGAGTAGGGTGGGACGTTGTCAGCCATCATGGGATAGGAAATGCAACGCTCCGTATCTCCATGGTTCTGGCAACTTTTGAAATAATGGAAACATAATCCGCGACTTCTGCATCTAAATAGTCGAAATGGTCGTCGCTATTCGCCGGTATTCGCAGCGAGTATCGTCTTAATTGCATCGGTTCAAGCGGAGAATTTCCAATATCCGCTGCAAGTGTATGTGAATTAAATTAATTCGAAAAAAAGTTATTGTATTAGGCATTCTTGCGATATATATATATATATATATATATATATATATACATATATTGCAAATCATAGAAATATATGTATATTGCTATTATAAAATTCAGTAACTAATTTTCTGTCATAATTCTGCTGTGAGTGAAAAATGAGATTAGTTCGTTGCAAATTTTATTTTGAAGGAAGCAGAGCGGCAACTCAGTCAAGTTGAATCGTGAATAAGAAAGAAAATAACCCGATTGCTGCCTAGTTATTACCAAAAGCGGATCCGTTAATTTGACATTTTTCATCGCATGAATTCATTGAATAATTAATAACTGACTTCTAAACCGTAAGTTTCTGTGTGTTTAATACTAAAATGTTAGTCTAAGATATCATATGTACTATGGAGTTATATGGACATATATATACTATGGATATATGTACTATGGATTTTGCAAAAAATGCAAGATAAAATACATTAAAATACATTAAAAATCGATCGCGATTGCATGTTAATCGCCTACTTCAATTAAAGAATACATTATCATATCATTTGCAAAAGTATTCACTTTCAATTTAGATATGCTGTAAGATAATTTAAAATAATATCTAAATATATAAACGTTCGACTATACATTAGGGAGAAAAATAGCTGCTGTACATTAAATATATATTTGAGGCATTTAATGCATCTTATTGCATCAATTTTCCATTTAGATTTCGGAAAATATCATATAAATATTTCTGTGTATATCTTTGTGTGTATCTCTGTTATTCGGACTGATTTCATAATTTTCTTTTTTTAACAGAATTTAGAAAGCATTAAATGCAAAACTTTTCGTGCTACTTATATTCATACTATTTTTACGAGAATTTTTGCAAGAATAATAGAAATCATTTTAGAAAAATATAACAAAAATGCTCGAAAATCTGTCTGCGCGATTATGAAACATTAAGTATCGTAAAAATTTTGTTTTAAACATCTTCTTTCCATTATTCTTTTTATTATTACATTGATTATTTATTTTCTTTCTACATCTTATAACGATATTCTCAAAGAATCAAACATGCTGATTTAACTTCAAATGACTGTTTCAATCCCTTAACGTGCGATGGAGTACTTATCAAAGAAATTCATTTTTCGAATTATTCCACAATATATTTAAAGTTTATCAAAATCACCGGTAAACATTTGCAAACATTTCCTCGTTAGATCGTAAAATCGGAAACGATGCATGCTTGACAGTTATACAAAACGAGATACGTGGCGACATGCGCACCGTGTGGATATTAAAGTGTCTTAAAATGCCTTAAAACATCGCGACTCGCACGGTAGAATTGCAAAAGTTCAGAGTGGAGAAGGCGCGAAGGCTATGGCTTAACGGCGTCAATTAATTCGATATAAAATGGAGGTGCAATTACCTCACCCGTCTTGATGACATTAAGCCTGGAATTCATAGCAAATTGCTGGTTGCGCTTAATTAATTTCTGCCCGTCTCACGGTTGACTTATGACGAACATGCGTACGTCATTAATCTACACGCGTGCACTTACTGATTTCCAAAAATTTATTCTTTGAACGGTTCCATGCTTTGAAATTGAACGGAATTGTCTTTATACAAAAGTGTCCACTCTTTTGAGCTCTTTCAATCATTAATATATATGTACATATAATTCTATGCCAAGTCGTCTGGTCTTAGAAATTCTTTTTCCATTTGAAAAGTAAGAAGCTGATTTTGCAAGAAAGATACGAGTCGAGTGCAAAAGAGAGAAGGAAAGAAGATAAGAAGAGCGTCGGCTCGTTTTCGTATGCGAATGATCATCGACGGTATCGGTTACTATAAATTGCAAAGAAAATCGTACCTATCCGCCGTAAAGGATGAAGTAAAATAACGAATTAACGGCGCAGGGTGTGTCGCGCTGTGCAAAGTACCGCGTTCTTGGTGTGCGTTTCCGAAACTGTGAAGTCGCACGTCGCGACCGCCGCCACCGTCGAGATCTGGTTGCCCGACGTGAACGTGAATTTATAATGGCGTCGTACTTTGCAAACTACTACCTTTTAGAGAAGCTATAAATTACTTCTCTCGCGATTAATAGAATTGACGCTGAACGATGGGCATGTAAAAAAAGACGGGTTTGTAAAAATGTAAATGAATAAGAGAAGGCAATTTTGTTTACCACATTTTTGTGTTACATCTATAAATTAATAAAAAAAAAAAAATTGGAGAATATACAAAAAAACTAATTTAAAGTTTTATAATTTGAAAGTTTTATCAATTATTAATATGGATTGGATTACATTAATCAAACTAATTTATAGAAATAGTAATTACTTGTAAATTTAAACTTTATAAATAATTTAATATTTTTATGCAATATCGAAACATTATAAAAATTAATTTATATAATTCATCTATCCTGATAAAATTAACAACGCTTTTAAGTATAAATGATATAATAGTATATTAAAGAGCAAAAATATATAAAATTTTTTCTATACAAAAATATAAACCCTTTATATGTCTATCAGTTGTAGCTATAACATTCTAAATATAACATAGTAAACTCAGTATATAACATAACACCATTTTAAATATAATTTTAAGATCTTTCCTGTCTCGAAATCGAAAATTAAGCACTTTCTTTTTCATCATACAATTTGTACTAGTTTTGAGATTTAATAATGTTAATTAACAAACAAGTCTAAATTCCATAATGTTTTACAATATTCAAGTTTAATATGCACCGTTTGAAGAACGTTAAACTTTGTTGACTTGTTCAAATGAAGCCGATAAAAATGAATAATGAGACTTGCAATATTATTTTCTATCGATACGTGCCCTAACATGATGAACGGCAAGAACTCTTTAAAGGCAATGCATAGTTGTAACGTCTATATTTTACGTTTTCCTTGGTTACAGTCAGCGTAAAGTACAGCTAAGAGGATACTTGCAATTAAAGCTATAATAAAACACGTGCGGTTTCGCTTCAGTGGTTCTTCATCATCGTCGTTCTAGAAAGTCGGCAGCGCCGAGAAAATTACTGGGATACTTGGCCGTTGCATTACGGTTAGTCTGTTGCGGATGCAATCCATTTCTTTGATGCATTGTCATTTTTATCTCAACGTAATCGTCTCTGTGAATCTTTTACAGCACTGCTCGTTGCACTATTTTATATGCATGCCAGTTAAAATTACTCGACTATAAAAACTGCTTTTTTCAAATTCAAATTACGTTCGTAATAAGACGAAATAAGACGAGCGTAACGTTACTTTAATGGCCGCTACCACGAATTATGATAAATAATTTCTCGTAACCTATTTCTTTACCGTACCGTTATTTTTCTCTAATCGCGTTACCAGAAAATGTACATAATTACGTACAATCATCTCATGCACATTGTGTATCTGTAACGTTATAAACTTACCGGTATTCAGAGTTCGGCGACTTTGACGGCTTAGCATGTCAGTAATCTGTAATTAGAAACAAGACAAAAATAATAATCATTAATTAAAAGTTTTTTCCTTCTGGCGATCATGGCGCATGGAATATAAAATGCTAAAAAGTATGTGCACCTGCTTTGTAGCCTATGTATTTTTCAACTACTAATTATTCTATGAAATATGTCATATTGAAACACGCAGGGGGTAAAGAAATAGCCTGGGCCGGTGAAAGCAGCCTCATGGATCGCTGATATGCCGCTCGACTTTTCGCTAAAAAAGGGTTAGGAGAAAGTTTCTTATTTACTGCGCTATAAAAACGCCGGTGAAAGGGTTCTTTTTTCGGAACCAAGTCTTTCTATCGAACCTTTTACCATACGCCGTCGGCGTACTACGATTTCTCTGACAATGCGCGATTGTCTGCTCGTGAGAAACTGAATTTGGACTTTCAAAACATGAAAGATACATTAAAAATTATTTCTTTGAATATCGAGATAAATATAGATGAGAGAAAAGATGCATAACATAAAATATCTTCAGGAAGAAAATCTTTCTTTACGTACTAAAGACTTCGTTCGGCTCGATAATAATCGTTAATTACATTTCGTTCTCATAATTACGATGTAGTATTCTCTCGCGCCGCTAGGAGGTCACAACAATTTTAGAGAAAAGAAAGCATCAACTTGTCGCCCGATCCTCATATATTTTAGAGATGTTTAAAATTGCTTTAGATTTGGCTTTATGGGTGGTAAATTTTCTTAAGAAATTTCTGGATGGGTCGTAATCTCTTCATATAATTACAGCCGAACTTCACTTACAGGTAAGTTCGTTCGACTTCTTAATTGATCATTGCCGTTGCAATGCGCTGTTGTAAACCGGAGTAGTATCGGCGACGACATGTGTGCAGCATATATAATAGAAAGTTCAATTAAGGGATTGTGTGTCAATGGGAGACAATTGCGTGAAGACTGCAGACATTTAAGTGTAATCACCAGTGTCACTTTATCGCCATTATACATTTTAGCTGGTATTTGCGTGTACCTTACGGGCAAAGTTTTCCATTCGCGGTTTCGCCATCACGAACTCTTCTCGTGCGAACGATTTATACGTCCGTCGATGTATCCACGGTAACCTTGCTACATTCGCAATATGTATAATCACAACATACGTGCCGAGCCATTACAAAGAAAATAAACTACACTTGATTAAATGCAAATTATCTTACTTAAATGTAAATCTTGGCGACATTATCGTGAAGTGCTGAATTTGCTATTATTCGAAGTTGTATATTTTAGTCTCTCTTTCTTTGCATTAAAATATTGAAATTGATAATTCTAAATATTCTAAACGTAGAATTAATTCTCGTATTAATTTGTAATTATACTAAATTATACTAAACATGTGACTGATGAAATGATTTAAGTATGTATTTACTGAATATTTACTTATTTTTTTTTCCTTCATTTATTTTTCACAGTAAAAAGTTGAGATCGATGATTAAAAGTTAATATGATATATTAATAGTTTACTAATAAAGTGCAGTAATTAATTGGCGGTTATAAACGCCACCATTGGCGACGTTATTATAACTTTACGAGACGTTAATCTACAATGCGCAATCTTTCTCTTTTCACATTTCTCTATAAAATCTTTCATTAAACATCATAACGATTATTCCTTTCCTTCTTTTTGTATTCATCTTTTTTATGAATGTTGATAATTGAATCGCTTTAATATTTATGTAAAACACACTTATGCTATTAGTGGAGCGAATTTCCTTTACAGTTGCATAAATATTATGTTAAACAAATGTTTTTATTGTCGAAATCTATGTCAGTCGCAATAAAATGTTTCAATCGTCGTATAATTAAATATGTGATTACTAAAAATATTAATCGCGTCAATCATGTTCCATATAATATAATGTACATTATCTAATAGATACATTTAACATTATCTAATAGATACATTGTTTTTCATATAGATAATTTGTTTTTGTATTTTGTTACCTTAATTTTAATAACTATCTAATTTCTGACAAATTTAGATTTCTCTTTAATTAAAATGTCAAAAGATTTACAATTTTTGTAAATTGTAATAAAATAAGACGCACCTTTCATAAATCTTACGATTTTAAAAAACACATTAATAAAAAGAAATTTTTAACTTCAATTACTTTAAATAGAATTATAAAGAATTGTAAATTTCTTGTATTTTTGTTCAATTTTTCAAAGTAATGTAGATTTTATAAAATATCAGTTATTTAATTATTTGTAAACGTAAAATAATATAAAATAATATAAAATTTATTCTTCAATCATTTCTTCATTAATGTGTCATCTGAAAATCTATACATCTATATCGTTAAATTTTATATAATCTTACATCTTTCCACTACTAAATGTCTTCGTGATCGTCACACATACATAGACGTGCACTTTCAATAAAATATAATTAATATTACTTACATGTTAATAATTAATAAATTTAGTAGTAAAGTGAATTACAAGATAAAGAAACATCAAATGTGCATCTTTATGAAACATAATACGCGACAAACGTAATAGCAGCTTGTAACTTTGGCAATAGAGCACAATAAACGACAATTTCCTAGACTTAGATAACCTGCAATACGATGAAAGGGGAGAGGAAAGAGAGCTGCGCTGCGGATTTATCACCGCGTCTCGCGTATTGTTTACGTCTCGGACGGGGATATAAATCCTCATTCTAAAGCGCCACAAACCGTCTGCACCTAACAGTTTGCTTATCCCTGGTATCACCCGCTTCTGTTCTCCTGGATGGTCACATATCCGTGTTCTTTACAAGATGCATCTGAATAAAAAAGATGCGGTGTGTCTTTAAATAAAGATCTGCCCGTTACACCTGCTGCTAACTATAAATTATTAGGCGTTCTTTTTCCAAACATTTGATCATTAGATGTTTGTTAAGTTAATAACGACACAAGAGAGTCCTAATTTTAGGAACTTCTATTCTACTTTAATGTTTACATAAATTTATAAACTTGTATACTTTTTTCACTGATAGTTACAAGACTCTAATTAGAGTTACAAAAAAGCTTTCTTTCTAAATTTTATTAATACGTGAAAATATTGTGTTTTCTATAAAACATAACATAGATTTAAAAAAATATTCATAAAACATAACATAGATTTAAAAAAAATTTAATCCAATCCAAAAAGACGTAAAAACGTAAAAAAAATAAAATATTTATGAAATATTTATTTTACATATATACTTTGTGCGCGCAAGTTATTTAAGCTGAACAACATGAAATTGCGAAAATGTGATTTATTGATCGAATAGAGGGAAATCTTTGTAAAAGTTGAACGCCGAACTCATAGAAGACGAAGAAATTACTCGTCTCGTAAATTTCCAAAGAGTAACCGCATTAGTACGCAGCAACCAGAAACTTTGGTCCGACCGAACGTCTTAATCGAGAATCGATATAACCCGTCATTCGCTTCTTCAAGAAGCTCTGAATTTTTTTATAAAGAAACTTCGTGAATGTCGACCATTCTTCCGACTGGAGATTTTTGCTCTCTCAGCGTTAAACGCGTCCAGACACGATGAACGGATGCTGCGCGAGCAAGAAAAATGAATCGAGATCGAATAATTGTAGCACTTGTACGTGAAGTGCTTTCTATTTCAGTAACGAGATTTATGTGAATTTAAGAGAAATTCTGAACAAACTCCTGATGGTCTATATTGAAAAAAATGATTATTTAGTCAGCATTCTTACCGATAAATTATTAATATATTGCGAGATTTAAAGTGCCATATATCTAATACGTTTTTATATAAAATCAGGACATTTCCATGAAATTATCATTCTATGAAATCCTTTTGTTAAATAAAAGAAAGATTTTGTTAAAATCAAAGATCAAAGAGAGATTAAGATTGCATGAGAAAAATTATTTCAAAAAGAATGCGTAATGCGGATACGTGCTATACAAATCGTCAATATGTAAAATAGTCTGGAATGTCCTTCTTGAAATTCAAAAATATCTTATGGACATGTAGAACATTATGGTATCATAAATACTCTAAAGTTTCAAAATTCTATAGTATAATTATCAATAAGAAAATATTGTCATTATCACATTGGTATAGCACATTGAAGAGTCAATTGAACGAAGATAAAAAGAGCAAGTTCAAAAATCAATTATAAGAAAAGAATTAACATTATTAATGTTTATGGGCAAACGTATAATTAGCTGTTTTTTAACGAAAGCATTCTGCATTAACGATTATAATAAATTCATAAACAAGACAGAAATAACTAATACAACATTAAAAATACTTCCAACTGCAAATGTTTTCAAGATGTATAATAATATATTTAAATGTCCAATAAGATAAAATCTGAAATCTTCATAACGTTATAAAAATTTTCTGATTTCAATTAAAGACTCCATTGCAAGCAATTCAGTGCGGTCACTTGGAATCAGGAAACCAGGTTTAATGCAGAAGCAAAATGAAGGTACTGAAAGTAAAGAAAACATTTGAACAATATTACTTCGAGTTATCAAGAATCAGATGCAAAGATATTTGGACAGAACCAGGACCAATCGCGTTTCCGACCGGATCAGTGAGTTCAATCGTGTTCTTTTATAGCATTGCTTTTCTCCTGAATAAAGCTGTGGTATCTTTTTCGTAAGGTCTTATGAGAAATAAATCTTACGATGATCTTAATCTCTACCTACATATCCGTACATAAACATAAGGAAAAATTTCGTTTAACGTCATGCGGATAGCATCATAAAGGTATTTATTTAAAATAAGCATAATAAATGGCTAAGAGCAGAAAACAATAAAAAAAGTGTTCCGTCATCTAATCTAGAAACGAAGAAAAGACCGTGACGATCAGCCATCAGTTCACGTAGAACCAGCTCGATCGAATCGTTGTCGAGGACATGCTCCCTCGATTCGACCATAGCGATTCAGCAGCAGTCGACGCAGCCATGTAGGAAGAGGGGATTCGAGAGGGTCCGACAAGGGCAACAACCAGGTAA